AGGAGCACTCCAACAATTTTGTTCCCCAAACAGAGCAGCTCACTCAGCTGTCAGACACTTCCCAGAACTTTGAAAGGGGAGGGACACATGCCTGCAGGGCGACAGAGATCACAAAACACTGAACAGCGCCATCAAGGCAGGCATTGTGGGATATTGACAGAAGCCACAAAACAAACAGCAGAGTCCACCCTGGCTCTTTCTTGACAATAAAGGGAGGGAATAAGTCAAAAGTCTCTTGCAAGACTAGATGTTATTGATTGCCAAAATGATGTGGGTTTTTTCCCAACAAAAGTTGCACTGTAGTGTAAACGTTCTCACTGTTTTGTCGCCAAATGGCAGGTTTTGCCAACAAAACATGCCAGTGCAGACAAGGCCTAGAAGCCAACACAGTGACGAATTGTGGAAAAGGCTCATCTCAGCCTGGAGTAGATTAAAGGGGTGTGGCATTTCTGTGCAACTCTCCTGCTGTACTCAGCGCTGGTGAAGCATCAGCTGGACCACTGTGTCCCGTTCTGGGTGCTGCACGTTAGGAAAGATGTGGACAAATTGGAGACAGCCCACAGGAGAGCGGCCAACATGAGTAAAGGTTAAGAATTCTTGACCTCTGAGGAAAGGTTAAAAAAACCAGGGCACGTTTATTCTTGCGAAAAGACTGAGTGGGGAACTGATATTCTTCAAATATGTGACGAGGCCAGGCTGAAGGTAGGATGTGTAGTAGTCAGGTTAATCTGTAGCACGGGAGATTTAGGTTAGATATCAGGAAACTCTCTAATTGTCAGGAAAGTTCAGCTCTGGAGCAGGCTTTTGAGGGAGGTTATAGAAGCCCGTTCATCGGAAGGTTTTAGGAACAGGTCCGACAAACACCTGTCAGTGGTGATCTAGAGTTACTTGCTCGTTTCTCAGCAGAGGGGGCTGCATTTCATGACCTCACGAGGTCCCTTCCACACCTATGTTAACACGATGTTATGGTTCTATCATCTGTTATTTCTGAAATACCAGGATTAAATTTGGAAGCACTTTTTACATGAAAGAGGTTTGCTTGTCTAGGTTCCAAAGATGTGTTTTAATTACAGATAAGAGTAATACATGGCAAAAACCAGCACGATCGGAAACCTCTGCTGAGAGAGGGCTTAAACCAAGGTTGCAAGAGTAAGGTGTGGGGAGCACCTGAAGACCCCCAAAACTGCACTCAAATGAAAATCGTGTCAAAGGGCTTGCTTTACACACGGCTACCTCAAAACGAATGCAACAAAATTTCTAACACTGGAATGATGCTATTTCAGATCATTCAGGGCTTAATGTGGATTTAAACCATTGGATTTAACGTGCACCTGGTTTATGAGGTCTTAAAGCAGCAGCATTTTTCCAGAGCTGTGCGAGCCAAGGAATACAGTAAACTTAATACCTTAAGTACAAACATGAACGCTGGTGAAGCAGTAAAATATTATCGACGGCCAGAGCCCGTGTATAAACGAATGAGTCACACCATTCCTGATTAGCTATGACTAGAACATGCACCGCTAGCTCTTCAGAGAGCCGGACTGTCTCTGTGCTGTCAGAGTCAATGTTTGGCACATGGGGTACATCCCTGACTGGTTTCTGTGGGCTGGAAAACTGTTCATTCAATGTTGTCAACCGCACCGTCAGCTGCGCTGCAAGTGTGCCCCACAGCACAAGCAGAATGGTGCGCACCGCTGCTGCAGAGCAACGTGCTATAATAATATAATATAACATATGGAGATATACCATCTCATAGAGCTGGAAGGGACCTTGAGAGGTCATCTAGTCCAGTCCCCCACCCTCATGGCAGGGCCGAGTACCATCCCTGACAGATTTGCCCCAGATCCCTACATAGTCCCCTGCAAGGACTGAACTTACAATCTTGGGTTTAGCAGGCCAATGCTCAAACCACTGAGCTATCCCTCCTCCCATGTTTGCCGGAACGTGAAGACGGCTGCCCTGACTTCCAACCTCCAATCTTGTCCGTAAGCAGGAGAAATCGCACCTAGCTCCCTGGCACGCCTCAAATCTGGTTCTCCCCTCTGCTTCTGTCTTTTCAAACAAGAGAGCCAGGCAGCAGGGACTTTTCACCCAGCCTCCTGCCTGGTGTGGGGGCTGACAGCTGGGTAGCTTTGAGTTCGGGGCAGCTCTGAAGCTTTTTGCAGGCCGTAGGGCTGCGGTCCATGACGCTGCACCAGAGCAAGGAGGTGAAGAGGGAGACGGTTCTGAAGAATTCTCTAAAAGGCATGAAAAACACAGCGCCCCCCGCTGGTGAGAATCGGCCAATGACCCAAGGAAGCCAATGGTCCTGCTGATTGACACAGAAAAGCTGTGACTCAGCAGGGCCTAGAAACCCTAGACAGCCATGGGGGGGGAGGGGCGTTAAATCTAGGACCAAATTGTGCCTTGCTAATTGTCCCAGATGTGTTTGGTCAATGCCCCAGCCATGCTGCACAGTTGTTCCCAGCCTGTTGTCCATGGACCCCTGGTGGTCTGTGACAGTACTGCAGGGTGTCCACAGAAAGTTTAAAAATAAGGATTGGGCCTATAACGGTAGACCCGACACTTACTTTTCTTTTCTTTTTCTTTCTTGACTTTTCTTTTCCTTTTCTTTTTTTTTCTCCTCCAGAGAGGAGGATCTGTGAAATTTTAATAGATTGAAAAGGGGTCCGTATGCTCAAAAAGGTTGGGAACTGCTGGCCTATCTGACCATATTAGCTCCCGTCAGCGTGAGTGGGATTCTTACAAATCCTGTGAAAAATAACACATTCTGAACTAGGAGCTTGGGTTGTAAATGTCTATTAGTTACTTCAAGGGAAAAATCCACAAGTGAACAATGTAGGAGTTTCTTGTTAATTTTTAAAAAAATAAAGGCATCTGAACACTGGATGACATTCAAAGAGAAGGCTACATTTTATGAGTGAAATTTGAAAGTTTGGGAATATACAGTTAAGATACAACACAGTTTAACTGGATCATGCTGTTAAGGCCACACAAACAACCTTAACTCTGTCCTCATCCTGTTGCGCTGCTTCCAATCCCTTTGCACCTTGGACAGAAGATGGAAATATTTTCATTAAGGACTTTGGGGTCTGATGTAAGGTCCACTGAAGTAAACTGAAAGACTTGCAGAGAGGCTGCAGTAATGTTTAACAAAAGCTGGGTGAAGAATTGATGATTCCGTTTGTCCAGAAAACCAAAATAATTTAGAAAAGATATTCAGATCACTTCCCAAATGATCAATCGGAAAAGCCCATTTTGGGTTAATACAAAATGTTTCATTCCAGTTAGTTTGAGGAAAAAATAGGTATGTTTGTGGTGGGGGGTGAGGGAATCTCTCTCCCTTTATAACCTTTTGCTCATGTTAGGGCACCGGCGTGTGATGTGAGTGACGTACTTCTGAATCTCAACTATGGGCCAGGGATTTAATGAAGTTCTCCCACATCTCCATTTTCAAGTGAACAGACCAGAGGCTGCTTTGGACTTGGCCGCTCTCAGTCTGTCTTACTGAAGCTGTTTGTACAAACATTGAAGCATCCAACGGACCAAAGAAGTTGGCAACGACACCGTCGCTGGTTGCACTTCCAGGCACGAGAAGCCCCTCTGAGTCAATGCGGTTGAAAGAAGCACTTAGCTTCAAATGTGAGGGACGCTGTTCTCAAACCCACCCTCTGCACTGTCACAAGGACTAAGGGCTTGTCTCTAGGGAGAGCTAGTGCACTGGGGAATTTCTAGTATGCACTAGCAGGGTCTGCGGGGCCAGACCTCCGATGTCGGGCAGGTACGTCGTGGGTTTACCTCCTGGCTTGCCGCACGCTATCTCTCTTCAGAGGCAAGCCCTAACGGACACATTTTCTAACACATACACTGATGGTCTAAATCTGCTCCCATTGGCATCTATGGTGAATGGGAAAACCTCCAGTAACATCAATGGGTGCAGAGTCCAGCCACTGCGGAGTGCTTCTGAACATCCCGACCAAATGCACGTCTCTGTTGAAGATTTAATGACAAGTAAAGCAAAACCGATACTTCATACTGATGAATTTCTCCACTTTTTACACTCACAAGATAACAGACGGAGTTCCCAATGCCCCTAATCTATTTGTTGGATTGGTTTGTGCATTTTTTTGTTATTCTCAGAACATGTTGGAAAGGGTTCTTGACAAGCCGGATCAGCTGTGTTCATTATGACTAGTCAAATTAATTTCGATTTTCTTTTGGTCATGAAAGCCCTGATGATGCTATACATGCCGAGTAGCACAATTCACCTTGTTCAGAGGTCCAACACAGGACTAGATGCACTACTGATAACCCACTTAAAATCTTGGTGTAAGTGGTCCATAGGACTTGTGTTGATAGCCTTCAGTAGGACTTAGTGGTACATATCCCTTATGCTATCTTTGTTCAGACAAGCAGATTTCATCCAAGCAGAAATTTAAGATGCAACTTCCCTGAAAACTCAGGCATGAGTCTTTGAAATGTACTTTCTTTAAACATCATTCTCTTGCCAGAAGCAGCCACAAATGGGGTGGGATCAAGAACAAAATGGATTCATTTCAAAACGCAAGGGCCAAATCTGTGTAAATTGGCATAGTTCCACTTATACTATGCTGATTTCCACCAGCTGATGATCTGGCTTCAAACGAATATTCACCAAAAAATCCTTTTACGGTATTGAACCAGTTCTTAATCAAAGACAAATATGGGGGGTGGGGGGAAGGGTAGAAAAATAACGTCAATCAGAGGGGAAGGAGAAGTGATCAGGCTTATTTCATCATTTTTATTGAGTGCAATTTTCTCTTTAGTACAATATTCTCTGAAAGTTACCGTTACAAACTGACAATTTCAACACAATCAACGAATTGGGAAAAAAAATTACAACGGGGCAAAAATCTCGTACAGACATCTCATTGACTATGTACAGGACAGGGTGTCTGCCGGCCGGCACAGTGCATGCTGCTGAGGTGAGGGCTCCCTTTGCCTCCGCTCATCAGGACAGGTTGCTGTGGAGAGGGCAGCATTCCTCTTGTGGTCATGCGGGCTGCTCTGCTAGAGGAAACGGAGGAGGGCAGAGCGGTGGTGAGCGGTGCTGCTCTGTCTCCGTTTCCGTGGGAGATGAATTACTGATGTACTCCCCCTAAAAGAGAAAAGGGGGAAAACAAAGTAAAGCAAAAATGAATCTATTGTACTACAACCAACCGGTCATCCCACTTGTGCTTCGGCAACAGAGCAGGGAGCAGCCAAGCACAGCAAAGAGATGGCATGTCCTACCTAAACTGAGTATTGTCACTGGAAGATACAATTTTGTAGGCCCTACAATAATATACAGAAGACTTCTGCGGCTGCAGGCTTTCCCATCACATGTAGCAGCATGCAGTGACAATGTGCGTTGACTCCTTAGGATGAACTATCCTGGGAAAGCCAGGTTGCATGAGGACTTAGAATTCCCTGACTATTTCTGCCATCATCTCTCAATGGGCATCAAAACAGCTAGTCGGGCATCTTCTGCTGATAGGAAATTTCAATGAAAAATGCGACTTACGCAAGAATCAAAGTCGTTGGTAGGAAAAATGTTGATTTTGGTGGAACGTGTTCAATTTGCTTTTACGTAAAAACAGCATAAAATAATGCCTTTCAGGGTGAGTGGATCTGGATCAAATATTTCCGTTAGTTGAATGGAATCCAAACGTGTCACATCTGGCTAAGAGTAAATGGTGGCAGCTGAGCCACTTTGGTCCCGTATTGGTGTTGGAATTTGGGTGCATGCAAGCCCTGCTCTACCCAATGGACTGTGCTTCCTGGCTGGACTACATCTCCCAAGATGCACCACAGTCTTCACGCTGGCTGGTCTGCACAGCGATTCAGGGAAGCCTCCTAACAATGAGGCATCATGGGAAATGTGTTCTAGCCCACAAGGGAGAATAGGGGCATTAAGCACCATGGTGGTGACACAGGGCATTGACATTTCTGTGGTTTCATCAAAAACGGAAAACATAAAAAGTTGTTCCACCCTCCCCCCTTATTTTTTGCACAATCGATACATTTTTCACATAGAACCTCCCATGTTTGAACAAGTTCTAGGGAAGCACTGATCCTGCTTAGGGTCAAAGAAAAAGGCCTGGTCCCAAAGGCTGTGATAGCTCAACGGGCAAGACAGAATAGGGGGCTGAGACAAACAAGCAGGCAGGATGGGCCGACACTAAGACCTGGCCTGTTGTAAGTCATCCACAAGTGGAATAGGCAGAAGCAGAAGTCACAGGACTTGCAGCTCACCAGTTACCTAGCCATTGTCCAGCGGCAGTTTTCTATAGGCACCACAGCACAAGGAAATTTTAAGGGAGAGCTTGAATAAAACGGCAGGGAGTTTTTTCTTGTGTGTAAGGGTGACCCAGAGAAAGTGTGGAGATGCCTGTGGGAAAAATGGACAAGCAGGTGACCGAGGCGGCTTCACAGGTGGAGCGAAGGCCCGAGTCCCATATGAGGAGAGGTTAAAGCGACTGGGACTTTTCAGTTTAGAAAAGAGGAGACTGAGGGGGGATAGGATAGAGGTCTATAAAATCATGAGTGGTGTGGAGAGGGCCGATAAAGAAAAGTTATTTATTAGTTCCCTAAATAGAAGAACTAGAGGACACCAAATGAAATTAATGGGTAGCAGGTTTAAAACTAATACAAGAAAGTTCTTCTTCACACAGCGTGTAGTCAACCTGTGGAACTCCTTGCCAGAGGAGGCTGTGAAGGCTAGGACTATAATAGAGTTTAAAGAGAAGCTGGATAAATTCATGGAGGTTAGGTCCATAAAAGGCTAATAGCCAGGGGATAAAATGGTGTCCTTGGCCTCTGTTTGTCAGAGGCTGGAGAGGGATGGCAGGAGACAAATCGCTTGATCATTGTCTTCGGTCCACCCTCTCTGGGGCACCTGGTGCTGGCCACTGTCGGTAGACAGGATACTGGGCTAGATGGACCTTTGGTCTGACCCAGTACGGCCGTTCTTATGTTCTTATGAGTCAATCATGGGGTCAGATAATAGAATGCCTACATAGTGTGGGGGCTGGAATGTCAAGGACTTCGATGGCGGGTTGGAAGGAACTGGAAAAGTTATCTAATCCCGTCCCCCCGCCCCCCCACCCCCATGCTAAGTATATCTCTGCCATCCCGGACTATTAACCTGCTCTGGAGAAAGATTCCACAACCTCCTGCTCCAGTTGTTAACTATCCTGACTAAATTTCACCTCATTCATTTCAAACCAGTTTATCAAGAGCAAATGCAACCCTTCGCCGTTGGGTATGAGCTCAAAATTTTACAAGCATCCTCTCCACTCCACTCACCACACCGTCAGCTGAGTCGTTAATGAAAAGAGGCCCATGCCGGACCCCTACAGAACCCCCCACCCCAGAGACTCATAGACTTTAAGGTCAGAAGGGACCATTATGATCATCTAGTCTGATCCCCTGCACAGTGCAGAATAATCTTCTCACCTATATCTCAGATATTGAAGCCTTCAAATACTTTGAAGACCCCAAGATGCAGAGAATCCTCTAGCTGTGATCTGTACCCCATGCTACAGAGGAAGGCGAAAAACCTCCAGGGCCTCTGCCAATCTACCCTGGAGGAAAATTCCTTCCCGACCCCAAATATGGCGATCAGCTAAACCCTGAGCATGTGGGCAAGACTCATCAGCCAGACACCCAGAAAGTTCTCTATAGTAACTCCTATCATCCCTCCATTGACTTATTTCCCACTGATAATGGTCAATTAGTTACCAAGACATAGCCTCCCAAATTGGTCCTAGATGATCATGCCACTAAAGCAAAAATGAAAAGGTTAAAAGGAAACCCCCCTTTATGCTCGTTCCCCACCGCATCACCAAGTGCCAGTGACAACTTTAAATTTGTTATTTTACGCCGCTAGGAAAATGTGTTATGTTACATCGCTAGGAAAATTCTTTGTTACGCCGCTAGGAAAATGAGTGAGGTTACACCACTAGGAAATTATGTTACATCACTAGGAAAATGCGTTATGTTACATCACTGGGAAAATTCTTTGTTACGCCGCTAGGAAAATGAGTGAGGTTACACTGCTAGGAAAATGGGTTATGTTACATTACAAGGAAAATTCTTTGTTACGCCGCTAGGAAAATGAGTGAGGTTACACCGCTAGAAAATTATGTTACATCGCTAGGAAAATGCATTGTTACATCACTAGGAAAATTCTTTGTTACGCCGCTAGGAAAATGTGTTATGTAACACCACTAGGAAATTATATTACATCATTAGGAAAATTCATCCTGTTGTGCCGCTAGGAAAATTTGTTATGTTACATCACTAGGAAAATGTGTTATGTTATGCTGCTAGGAAAATGGGTTATGTTACGCTAAGAAAATTCATTGTTACATCACTAGGAACTCTTGCAGCAGGACAGATTCTGTTACAATTCTTTAGAGACTTTCCATTCTTTCCATAGAAGCAATACAGCTTTGCTTGAATTCTCCTCCTCTTCCCCTCCGGTTTTATGCTAGGCTGGGGTAATTACCCCTGGCCTTCCCATCTGTGCTTGAGATTAGCTTCAGCTCTTGGCTGTGTTTGCTGAAATCTGAGCCCCAGGCAGCAGAGTTAGTAACAGGAGAATTGACACCTCTATCGCTCTCGTGCCAGCATGAGCCATAACTTTAATAAACCAGGGTTTGCTTAATGCTGCACGGGTAATAACCCCTGCCCAAACGCTGCCTCTCTTCCCGCCGCCTTGCTTGCACGCTGCATGGCTCAGTCCGTGTGTGTTCTGGCATGAGAACCAGTCTCCTTCTCCCTGCTCCTTTACTCCTTTTCAGGCTCCTACTGAGGTTGCCAGCTCTAAATAAGAAAGACCGTCAGCACGTGCAGTTGGGAGGCCCTGGCAGGGTGTTTGGGTACAGGAGGGGGCTCCAGGCTGGAGCAGTGTTGAGGTACAGGAGGGGGAGGGGTGCAGGCCCTGGGAAGTGTTTGGGTGCAGGAAGGGACTCTGGGGCAATGTTGGGGTGCAGGAGGGAGAGGCATTTAGGCTCGGGGAGGGTGTTTGGGTGCAGGAGGGAGCTCCAGGTTGGGGCACAGCACTGGGTGCAGACTGGGTTGAGGAGAGTGGGCTCTCTGAGGGGTCTGGGTGCAGGCACATGAGGTGGGACGCAGGGTGCGGCCAGGAGGCGCTTAACCCAGGTGGCAGCGCAGTGGGGCTCAGGCAAACTGCCCTCACCTAGCCTCACGCTGCTCCTAGAAAGGCTGGCTGGCTGCGCACAGGAGGCCTTTGTGTGTGGCCTCCAGAGGGGAGTCTCCATATACTGCCCTGCTGCCCACACCCACAAGTGCTTCCCCATTGGCTGGGAACTGGCCAGTGGAAGCAGCTTGGACAGCGCTGGAGCAGGGGCAACATGGCGCTGTCTCTCTACCCCCACCTCCCAGAGTCGGCAGAGAGGGCAGCCAACTGCTTCCGGGGCAGGGTGGGGGAAGGCAGAAGCAGCCTCCCTGAGGATCGTGGTCCACCGACAGAGGCTGCAGGATCTCCCAGTCAATAGCGATTGACAGGTTGGTGACCACTGGGCTAGAGGAACACGGCCACCGGCACCCACCAAACAATACAGAAACAAGACACACATCCACTGCCATTGGGGATTGCTCGCTCTGGCCTTGACTTCACAGCCACAGAAAGGTGTGCGTTTAACCTCAGGATAACTAACAGCCAGGAGCTAGCCTGAGGTAAAACGTGCTGAAGGAAGGTCAGACACTCATTTTACCACGAGGTAAAATCACCACGGTCAACCCCCAGAGCGGGCACAGGTCTGTTTACCTGGCCATTTACCCATAATAAAGCTACAGTCCCTGTCGCCCATTGCGTTTTCTTCTCAGGGTATCTTGGGCCAAGTAGTTGCCTTGAGGTAAAACAGTCACTATTACACAACGAAGGCCAGGCCTCTGTCTTGCCCATAGTTGAGTGCGGCACAGCATAGCGCTGACACCGAGTAGAAGATACTTGTGCTGTTGAGAGCCTGCCAATCCTAGTCAGGCGTCTGCTAGGAAGTAAGAACTCCCTGCTGTCGGTCACCAGGGGGGACCGAACCAAGACTTCCATCTCACGTGGTTGGTGAGTTTCATTTGAGCGAGAGGAGCAAC